CAATTTCATCAATTGTCCCAATAAAATTCATTATTGCCATTTTTATCCCCGGGTCAGAATCTAGTTCCAATCATGTGTTGCGTTTAGGTGTTATGTCACAGTTTCCTTTTAAACAGTGAATGTTTCCATAACAACACAAAGGTCCAACTTTCTCCCGGAAGGCTTGATGCCTGCAAGTCAGCTGGGTTCCAGCCGGGATGGTCAGCTCACGTGGTGCCATCTTGTGGTAACAGCGCAAATAGAGTTTATAAATCGTCTCCTTGGGCAGCTGTGAAGTGATTTAACCTAAAAAGAAATTAGGTGATATTCATATCATCTCATTTTTTCTTAATAATGTGGGAAACTATGTTTTAAATATTTTTCGGTCTTTCCTGATGGCGCAATGGATAAGAATCCGCCTGCCATTGCAGGTGACACGGGTTCAAGCCCTGGCCCGGGAAGATCCCACATGCCCCGGAGCGACTAAGCCCGTGTGCCACAACTACTGAAGCCCGCACGCCTGGAGCCCGTGCTCCGCACAAGAGAAGCCACCGCAAGGAGAAGCCCGCGCACCACAACGAAGAGTAACCCCCGCTCGCCGCAACTAGAGAAAGCCTGTGTGCAGCAATGAAGACCCAACACAGCCAAAAATAAATAAAATTAAATCTTAAAAATATATTTTTTTCTCAATTCAAATAATCCACATACCTTAGCTTAGCATAAAATGAGATTTTGCTGTATCTCAAATCTGGACTTATGCAGGTGAAGTCCAGTACTGTGGGTAAAAATGAGGGCTTGGCCTGACACATCTTTGGGAATGGATCTGGGCGCCACATTCTGGCTAAGTGATATTTTGCAAGAGACTTCCCCTCTCTGGGCCTATGTTTACTTCTGCAAAATAGGCCTTACAGAGACTTCTACCTGCAGGAACATATTCAGGTCATGGATATAGTTACCAGCACTGTGCCTGATATGTGGGAATCCGTCAATAAAGGTTAAGAGATTATTATTATTTGTTCAACTTTTTGTGAGTAGACAAGTTCAGACCTGAAGTAAAATTCACCCCAGTACAGAGCTTTAACTTTCCTAATCAAAACCACATTCAGTCAACAAATATTTATCGATCCCCAAGTCCCAACTGTGTGTTAGGCATTGTTCTAGATGCTGGGAATACAGCCGAAGACAAGTCTTTGCCCTCATGGGCAAATTTGTGTTCTGGTTTTGGGGGAAGACAGTTACAAACATTTTTTAAAAATTCTTTAGTGTTAAGTGCTAGGTAGAGAATTCAAATATGCTGAAAAGAAGTGACAGTGTGGCTCTTTTGGATTTGGGGTGACCAGGGAAAGCCTCTCTATAGAGATGAGATTTGAACTGAGTTCTGAAAGACAAGAAGGAGTCAGTCATGCAAAGATCAGGATCAGGGGGGTGACCAGTCCAGGCAAAAGGAACAGCAAGTGCAAAGGCACTGAGGTAGGAACAAGCTTGTCTTTTTGGTGGGGCAGAGAAGAGATTAGTGTGTCTAGGATATGGTGGTCAAGGGTGAGAGTAGCTTGAGATGAAGTTAGTAAGATAGGGGCAGCTCACATAGGTCCCTGAAGACCGTGGTGAGGGCTTTAGCTTTTATTTCATGTGGAATGAGAAGCCATCTACGTGATCAGAGCAGATCGATAAGGTGTTCAGTCTTAAGAGTAGAAAAAGTTTTATCCCAAGGTTTGCACTAAAGCACATTTAGCCTCACCTTACACGTTTTGGAAATCTGTGATGTGTTAAAAAGTTGAATGTGTATGGTGCATGGTATCTTCTATTAGAATTTTTGAACGATAAAACATTTTATAAAAAGGAAATTGGAACCAACATTTACAGAATCCCTTATCTGTACTACTGCCAAACACTTAAAATGACTCTAAAAGGATCTTTCCAACACAGTAGCATCTAGGGTGGGGCTTAGTAACTTCTGGCTGCGGCGTCAAAGATACTATTTCAACATTTCTGTATAGTGTGGGAAACTCTTTTAAATAAAAACTTTTTTTTTTTTAACAGTTCCAGTCTTCTTTGGGAATCTGATCAATGCTATGGACTTTCTCCCTTGAAAATGCTCTGCTTAGGATGAAAAAAGGGGAAATCTGAGTATTCCTGCTTGTATCTCCTGATCACCCATGTAGCAGGGAGGGTCCCCCCCTACCAGAGCCACTGCCAGGGATAGACCCCTCCAGACTTTGTCGGGTGGAGTGGAAGCCTCCCCATCTGGGGCTACTAGGAGGTTCTTTATGGCTGGCCCAGGCAGCTTGCCCCATCACCATTGGAGCGCAGTCTTTGAGTAGGGTTGAAATGAACTCTAGGGGCTTATTCCCACTCCCTGGGGACAGAAGGGGACTTTGAGGAGATGCCCTCTCCATCCCTCAGGGCAGGATTCTTCATCTTTTTTGAATCAAGAGGCCTTTGAGCAGACTAAAGATGAGAAGCTTTGGGCCCTTCTCCCCAGAAAAGTGCCTGTGCAGCCCATATTTATAGTCATAGGCGGGAAGTTCACAGAATAGATTAGAGGGTAGAGAGCAATTTGGGGTTTTAGGAAATTTTCTCCTCAATCACCCTTGATGTGGAAATTGAAAGACTGAGACCCCCAAACAATAATTAAGTGGTTTGCCAAAGCAACACAAGGGACAGAAGTAGGGCTATTACTTTTCATTTTCCGGCATGATATGAGTTCAAAGCACAGGCTCTTGTATCAGACTACCTGGGTTCAAATCCCGCCTCCAGCCCTAACTTGTCCTGGGACCCTGAGCAAGCCCGTTAACATACTGTCCCACTTAACCTCCAAGATTGTGTTGACAGCAACAGGATAGCATTGGTGAGATTGTGTCAGGAACAGAACCTGGCCTGTAATAACTGCTAAATGAATTCTATTGCTACTGTTTTGCAACGAGGAAAGGCAGGCTCAGAGAAATGATGTTATTTTGACAAGGACACGGGAGAGGCATGATTAGAACTAGGGCCTGTCTATTTCCAAAGCAAGTAAGTGTTGTTCGCTCCCAGACTAGTGTTTTTCAAACTGCAAGGCACAACCCATTAGTGGGTCATAAAATTAGTTCAGTGGGGTCTCAAACAGCACTGAAAAAAAAATTAAATATCAGAGTGCATCATACATAGGGTAAATAGCATTTGGTTGCACTTTTTTTTTCCTTGGCTGCACCTCACAGCTTGTGGGATCTTCGTTCCCCAACCAGGGACTGAACCCAGGCCTTCAGCAGTGAGAGCACAGAGTCCTAACCACTGGACCGCCAGGGAGTTCCCTTTGGTGACACTTTTGTTTCACGGGATTGTAAGTATACATCTGTGTGTTCTTGGTATTTTTTTTTTTTTTTGATTGCACCATGGCTTGCGGGATCTTAGTTCCCCAACCAGGGATTGAACCCGGGCCCTTGGCAGTGAAAGTGCCCAGTCCTAACCGCTGGGCCACCAGGGAATTCCTACTAGGTCTTAAAATAGTTTGAAAGCCATTACCCTTTACTACTAGTGCCCCTACAAGTTCAGACACAAGCACACAGAAGCGTTCAGTGATATCTCTGTGTCTTGTAATCCATCCTGTTTCCCAGGAGGGGCAGGGATTCGAGCCAGCCCAGGAAGACTTAGAGGTAGGGGAATGGACTATGAGCTGTTCATCCTGGAGTGGAGTAAATCGAATAGGCCAGAGTAACCTTGAGTCTAGATCAGAGCAGAAGGGCTACTTTTTGAAACAAATATTCCTCGAGAGCCCACTCTGTGCCAGGACCTTTGCTGGTTAGTGTTAGGTACACAGCGATGACTAAGATAGTCCTGGACTCTTCCCTCTTGGGGCTCACTGTGCAATGGAGAAGACAGATCTGTTAACAGGCAGTGAGAGGCTAAAATGGTCAGGGTTGTAAGGGGGGAGGCTCTGGTCAGAGTGTGATGGGGGAAGACCAGGAATTAGGAACACAGAGCAAAGAGTTCCAAGCTGGAGACCCACCAGCAGAGGGCTAGTTCCAGCAGTAGGTTTACCTCTGGGGAAACTACCACCCCTGAGAGGACTTTGCCTGAGACACTCTTGCAGACTTAGGTGGACCCAGGGTTCTTCAACTCCCAGCCAGGCCTTCTGTGTGGCATTACTGGAACCCAAATTCATAAAGTAGGAAGCCCCACCCAACCCATGAGAGAGCAGGAACTGGGATCCGGATGTCTCATAGCTGTCTACTACACTAGCTAATACACGGGCCAGGATCTGTGCTCTTTTTTTTCCAGGGCGATTTTAAGGCATTTGTAGGCCCAGGTTACCCCGTGAAAAAGTTATATCCCATATTTAATTGCATATATATATATCATGAGCAGATAGGATTAATATTTTGGAGTTATAGCATGTCTAATTGACATACACCGTTCTGTCTACATAAAATAGCCCAATAGCCCAGGGACGCAGCTATGATTGTTTTCATTTTGCAGATGTGGCTACTGAGGCACAGAAAATGGTAAAGCCTTCTGCCCACAGTCACCAGTAAGGAAATGCAAAGCTGGGTTTGGGTGCCTTCAGTGCCTGTGCTCAACCATGAGAGGAAATACTGAAAAGGAAACCCTTCCTAACGCCCGCTCCAAGGCTCTTTAAGAGCCTCGGAACCTGAACTAAAGGCAAGAGCGGAGTAAAACCAGATCAAAGCGTATGTAAATAAGGACCAGGGGCTGCCGGGAAATATCATCGCGGCTAGCCTCCAGGGAAAGCGGGCGTCAGAGTCTTACTGAGCCTGCGCAATCTTCTTTTTTTTTTTTTTTTTTTTTTTTCCGTCCGGCGCCTGTGCGAGGCACATCCCTTTCCCACACCGGTTCAAGCTTGCCTAATGTACGCAGGCGTCCTTCTCTGAGTCGGCCACCTCCCCTTCCTTGCGCTTGCGCTCTAGCTCTCTTCGAGTTCCTTTCTCCCTCTCTCACGTCAGTTCCTGTTTGTGGCGGGAGAAGGCGGTATTTCCGTCCAGAGGGTGGGAGGGGGCGGTAAGCGGGGGCTGGGGGGAGGGGGCGGGGGGGCCGCGCCGCGCGAGCCGTTGGGCCTGGCTCCGCTAAGGCGTTGCTGCTGGTGCTGCCGCCGCCGCCGCCGCCAGAAACACAAGGAGCGGGATCAAGCGTAGCGTGGCGATGGGCAGGAGTAGAACCCCGCCAGAGAGGCTGGGCGGCCGCCGGTGACAGGTGAGTGCGCCAGCGCCTGTCCCCAAGCGCCCCCCCCCCCGCGATGGTCGCGTCCGGACCCCCAGCAAAGCCGCGCTGGGCCGTACCACCGGTGCCCACTGGGCGGGGACCGTAGTCCTTGAGCCCCCCCCCTTCCGGGACTGAGTTGGGGAGGCTGCGCGGGGGCGGTTGGACTAGCCCCGAGGGGGCGGGGGCGGCGGGCAGTACCAGTGAAGCTGCAGGGGGCGCATATCAAAATGTGGGGACCGAACCACTGAAGGGCTGGAGGCGTAGACCCCTGCGTGCTGAGCTGGGGGTTGAGCCAGTGGGCTGGGAGGGGAGAGCCCGCCTGGTGTGCGAAGGCTAAGCCTTTGAGGGGGCGCGTCTTACCAAGTGTAGGGGGCTGTGGAAATAGTTCCTAGAGTGTGCTTAGAGAGGTAGGGGCTTCTGGGCAGAGAGCTGTATCTAGTGTGGCCCGGGTAGCGCCCTCTGGGTTGTACCACTGAGGTCCTGGGGGGAGCCATCCTTAGAACGTAGAGCCGCGGTATATCAAAGGAGGAGGGCTGTGATGTTTATAATTTTGAGGGACGGCGGGGGGACGGGCCCGAGTGGGTGTTCAGGGGAGTTACTTTGGGAGCGCTGTAATGCCGAGCGATGAGGAGGGGGTTCTGCCTCCTGTGTTTGGTGGGTGGAGCTTGGGGGGGTTTACGCTGAGCTGGAGGGGGAATCACCCTTTATTGAACTTCTTATTGACTTTGAGGGGAAGTGGATGGTCAGTGGGACTGCTGTCTACCCTAGAACCTTTTCATGTTATTAAACCTTATTTTAAGTTGTGTTGGGACACTTCTGTGGCAAATTCTTCCAGTGGTTTTGGCTGGGGCGTTGGGGGAGACGTCTTAGAAGCCGCTTGTTTTCTGAGCTTTCGGCTCCATATTAGGGAGGGAAGGGGGTATGGAGCTTGGATTTGAGGATCTGTGTCCCTGGATCTGCTTAAGACTTGGGAGGAAGGAGTGCTTTGAGGGACACTTCTCCCCGAGGGGAGGGTGGCTGGGACATCTTTATCCTTAGAATTCTGAGCACCCCTTTCCTCTCATTTGGAAGGCACTTGGGCTCAGCAAGAGGCCTGGGTGTAATTAGGTCTTCCATGGTCTGCCCTTGAACCTTGTTTACTCTTCCTCTGTCAGAGAAGCATCCGGAGCTCTGGCCTGAGAGTGGTTGGTGGTGGGTGCCAAGGGGCCAGGCACCACCCCAGGCCCCTCCATCCTGGCCATGAGGCCAGACACATGTTTGTGTCTCCTTGGTCCAGCCGCTCATCATGTTTACGCTCCCCACCAGGCGATAACAGTTGGCTTCACCATTAGGCGGCAGTGAGGCTGAGTGCTGTTTCCCCAGCTGTTCCGCTCTGCATAGGCCAAGGGGACTTGGTGGTGGTGCCCCTGCCCCACACTGACCCAGGGAGGCGAAGGACTTGGGGTGGCCAAATCCCCCACGAATCTGGTTTCTCACTGTGGTTGCTGGGTGGGAGCTTGGCTCCTCAGGCCAGCCTGTGACCTTGGCTTGCTCGGTAACCTTTGTCCTGGGTCTGGAGTTCCCAGAGGGCTGGCCATAATCCCTGATTGACCCAGCTAATGTGGGCTGGTGATGTGGTCAAAGGGGGCAGACAGTCGCTCTGGCCCACATCATCAGCTTCGTAGCTACCTGGCTTCCATGGGCTGTGGTTGCTGGAGAGAACGGTCCCTAAGTCTCTGTGAGGCCACGGTGGCTCTGTAGAATTTCTCTGCGCCAGGGGTTTCTTTCTCTGGTTTGCCAGCTTTTAGAGGGTTTGCCTGATGGGATTAACAGCAGTAGTAAAAACAATAATCTTGAGACCAATGGCTGATATTTATTGAGTGCATTCTGTGTGCCATACACTGTTCAGAATGCTTCACGTGGATTAACTTGCAGAATGCCCACAGCCTAGAGCTTTGTGTACTGTTGTCATGATCTCCACTTTAGAAGGGGAAACTGAGGCACAGAATGGGAAATCATTTCCAGAGCTACTGAATTTTATTATTATTATTTTAATTTATTTAAAAATTTTTTTAGAAACAACACTCTTTTATTTATTTTTTTTTTAGTATTTATTTTTGGCTGTGTTGGGTCTTCGTTTCTGTGCGAGGGCTTTCTTCAGTTGCGGCAAGCAGGGGCCACTCTTCATTGCGGTGTGCAGGCCTCTCACTATCGCGGCCTCTCTTGTTGCGGAGCACAGGCTCCAGACGCGCAGGCTCAGTAGTGGTGGCTCACGGGCCTAGTTGCTCCACAGCATGTGGGATCCTCCCGGACTAGGGCTCGAACCCGTGTCCCCTGCATTGGCAGGCAGATTCTCAACCACTGCGCCACCAGGGAAACCCTACTGAATTTTATTGAACGTTCACCGTATGTCAGGCATGTGACAGGCCTTTTACACACATTACCTCATTTATCTTTTATATTTATTTATTTATTTATTTTTGGTTGCGTTGGGTCTTCATTTCTACACGTGGGCTTTCTCTAGTTGCGACGAGCAGGGGCTACTCTTCGTTGTGGCGCGTGGGCTTCTCATTGCGGTGGCTTCTCTTGTTGAGGAGCATGGGCTCTAGGTGTGCAGGCTTTGGTAGTTGTGGCACGCAGGCTCAGTAGTTGTGGCTCGCGGGCTCTAGAACGCAGGCTCAGTAGTTGTGGCGCGTGGGATTAGTTGCTCTGCAGCATGTGGGATCTTCCCGGGCCAGGGCTCGAACCCGTGTCCCCTGCATTGGCAGGCGGATTCTTAACCACTGCACCACCAGGGAAGTACCCCATGACCTCATTTAAATCTCAAAACACACCCATGGGGTAGGTATGGTCATGCCTGTTTTATAGAGTCCTGTGAGCTAGGTAGCAGTGTGATACCCATTTTACAGATGAGGAAACCAAGACACTTGCTATGAAGTGAAATGATTTGCCCGACATCTCAAAGGTGGAAGTGGTAGAGCTGGGACGTGAACTCCTGGCCTGGTTTAGCCTCACAGTAAACCGCTTGTCAACATGTAACTGGAACAGTGGTTTAGTTGAATCCAGGGGTGGATATGGTGTTTCTGTCCATTTTTCAGAGTCAGAAATTGGGGCTCAGAGGAGGAATTGCTTTGTTCTAGGTCTGTCAGACGCTTGGGGGCCAGACTGGGGTTTGAATGAATTCTTTGCTCATGGTCCCAAAGCTGGAGAGGGTCTCTGTCACCTCAAAGCTCCTGCCCTAGACCCTTCCAACTGCGGGCCTTTCCTTCCCCTCACCCTTGGAGCCTAGGGCTGCCATGAGCACCTCTGCCGGCAGCCAGTCTAGCAGTTTCTGGGCTTGCTGATAAAACTTGGTCCCCCCTCAGGGTTGAGCCAGGGCATCTTTTAACCTGGGGCAGAATGTCTGCTGGGAGCCGGGAGGAAACAGCAGGAGAGACATGTAGGGGGTGACACAGCTACTAGGGGACCCGTGTTTGAGGTCCCTGCACAAGGATGGTGTAGTGGGCCTGTGTGCAAGTTCTGGTGCTTTCATGTTCTAGTTGTGTGACCTTGGGCCACAGTGTTCACCTCCGTGCAATGGGCTCAGAATGACATCCCCCTCAGGCTTTCATGAGGATTAAATGAATGAATCCAAGAGGAGCTCCTAGAATGGTGCCTGGCACTGAATAAATGCTCCGGTGGCAGTCTGAGGGCCTCGATCCTTCCCCACCGGCCCCACCCTCAGTCCTCTCAGGCATCATCCTGGAATCCAGCCCCCCAGCCTGGCCCAGCCAGGATCCGGGAATCTGCTGTCCTGGTTTCTAAACTCTGTAAAGAGCTGTACTGAAGTGCTTCAGTGCTTCAAATCCAGCCCTACCACTTGCTGCCTGTGCGACTCTGAGCATGTTCTCAATTCTTCTGAGCTCATTTCATCATCTGTGTCCTGGGATGATGATAATTCCCTCCTGATAGGTTGTCATGAAGGTTAAACGGGTTAATTTCTGGAGAGCACTTATAACTGTGCAGGGGTAACAGTAAGCCTGCAGTAAACGTTTCCTGTTATCACTATTTAAGAAGAGTGCTTGGCACATGGTGAGCCCTCAGGATATCTTAACAATTGTAATTCTTATTACTTCTGCTAGGATTTTGAAGGCCCTTCCCAGGTTACAGAGCCTGGTCAGGTAACACCGGGAGGAGGGCAGGGCTGAAATTAGCATCTCCATTTTCCAGGTGAGGAAACAGGAGGTTCTGGAGGCTTGAGGGGTGGGGCAAATGCAGCCCCCAGGTCCCCGCCATCTCCTACACAGTTGCTGCCCGGAGCCCCTCCTCGAGGTCGAAATTCTAGCTCCTTTCCAGATGTTATACTCTGCTAAACCCTTTTCCTACTTGTGCTTTTATTGACTCTCCACCATAGCTCCCAGGAGTGGTGGTAACGGCCTTGACCTGGGTGAGAACAGTCCTTTTGAAGGCTGAGAGGCAGAAGGGTGGTCTCCAACAGGGAGGGTAGCAGCAGTGCTTATGGGAGTCAGGGGCCAGGCCTCTCACAGCCTCGTGGGCCTGGGCAGGAAGTGTGGCTTTGATCCCGAAGGCATTGCAGAGCTGAGGAAAGGTTTTCATTCATCCGCCACCATTTATTGAACACCTGTTCTGTGTCTGGCATTGCTTCAGGTGCTGGGGATACAGCGGGGCACTCAACAAAGGCCCTACCCCCGTGGAGCTGAGGGAGGCAAACCCTAAACCTGCTGAATAAACAAGGGGCAGGTTAAAGGGAGGTGCTTGGCAATTAAAATCAGGTGCGATGGGCTGTCAGCAAGGCCTCTGAGCTGATCTCAGATTGACAAGGTGACCTGAGGAGAAGGAACAGCCTTGGGGTGTGGGGGGAACCACAGTGCAAAAATTGCAGGGAGGACTGAGCTCAGTGAGGTGCAGGGACAGGCTGCGCAGAGGCCCGTGTGGCCCTGCAGGGTGAGGTGAGGTGCAGCTGAGGGCAGGCAGGGTCACTCAGAGCCTTGTAGACCATCTTGAAGAGCAGT